CATCTGCAGCTTCACAGCCCGTTCACTGCCGGTCGCCGGCCCGATGTCCTCCGAAAAACCACCGGTCGCCGCGCTGACCGGCCACCGCTCCAAACCGTCCCCGCCAATCCCCGCCAGTTCCGCGCTTCACGCTGACCGAGCCGCTTTCGGTGCTCTGAGTCGACGGCGTTCACCTCCTTGTCCACCATCTTCGGCGCGAAGAGGGGCTCAATGAAAAACCTACTTCGACTCAAGTCGAAGCACGAGGGACTTCAGGGAGACGAGGCGACGGGCGACGGAGGGGAGGGGTGCGCGAAGGAAACCAGGAAACCTATACTTCTTCGAAGCACGAAGGAAGGGAAGAGCGACATGGGTGTGCGTTCCGGAGGGACTCGAAACAGAGAAGGCCGGCCATGGCATGGCCGGCGAGCAGCCATGGCGAAATATGACAGAAGGTCCATTCACCCGAACTCGTCAAGCAGCTGCGCAAAAATGTCGAAGGTCTCTTCAAAGCCTTTGTCATCGACCTCACTACATCAAGACACGCAGGGCAGAGACGAGCGACCAGTGGGAGGGTGGAGTGATCCGGGAGGCCTGAAAAAAGCCCGCCGCTGTCACTCCACACCTGGTTTCAACCTGCTGCGTACAAGTCCTACTAAAGAAAACTCGGTGCAACTCCACGACACAAGGGCCATACAGCTCTCAAACAAAGAGATCTACAGTAAGAAGGAAACGCACCTCTTTCTGTAGACCTTCGCTCCTAACCCAGTTCTAGCCCCTTTAAACTTTATACTTTCTTAGCCTTTCTGCTTGGAGCCATCAGCTGTCTTCCAAACACAGCAGGAACTGTTCTTCCACAACTCTTCCTGCAGAGCTCCCGCCGAAGAAAATCCTCCACCTCGGCGAAGTAGACCGTTTGGTCGCTGGCAGTGTAGGCATTGTTGCTTCCTCCGTAGACGGCCAGCCTCAGGCTGCTGTGTCACCACCCCGGCCAAAGGGGTCAACATATGCACCCCAGAAACGGAGAACGCGATGATGTTGGAAAGAAGTCAAAAATGAATGGCTGCTTGGGGCATGCTGAAATTAAAAAATAAGTAAACGGTATATACAATGAACCCAAAATAAGTACAGTAAACATCAAACAGCATTCCATCAAGCAAATCTTGCATACAGGCCAACAGCACATTCAGAACTTGGTCTAACTTTCAACCAAGACGCTTATCGGAGAACTCATCTTCTCCGGGATACTTTTGCGATCCCAAGAAGACCTCAAGCTGCAAGGCCGGAAAGGCAAGAAAAGGGATCTGCAGGCCAGAAAATCTGAACATCGTTTATCCTACGGAAGCCTACCCCTGCTCCAACCAAATCTAAAACCAAACCAAATTCCAACCATATGAAGCTGGCCCTAGCTCAACCGCAAGGCATTTCTTCCCGTGAATGCTCAGCTCCAGAAAAATCCCGGCTCGCGGAGGATCAACTGAAGGGTTGGATCTGCTTTCGGCCAACTTGGACTCTACAGTGGCTAGAAAATGTCACAACTGTCACCAAGGCCCAGAACATCTTCAGACGGGTATCATTTCTTCACCTCATTCACCACCTTTACTGACAACTGAGTGTTGTTTCTGCCACACTCAGGTCACCCCAAAAAAGGGGCCGGTGCAAAAACGTCTGAAAAAGGCAACGGTGGGAACCAGATGTTCCTCCCAAATGTTCCGCCGGCCGGGCAGCCATATGCTCGCAGAAGTGTGCCAAGCCCTGGAAATCGGGAGGATCTTCAAGGCTGCCCACCTCACAGCATTCGGTCGGCCAGTGATGACTCTCTTGGTTTTAAGAACGCCCGTAGACCATATGAAGAGGTTTCTCAATTCAAATTGGGGGGTTAGGAATCAAGAGTCTACGGCAGTGATGAACTGTACTTGCTAGAAGGATACCACGAGCTAGAGTGATTAACACTATTCGTCCCTATGTGGGAGGAAATGCCTCATAGCATACTCTCTTGTTTCCATCCCACGGCGTCTCTCCACCTCCACGGCCATGGCATAGCTGGATTTCTGCGTATGAGGATCTTCGACCAAGAGCACTCGCAGCCCGGACGTCAAGGTGTGATGACGATATCGACGCCTGTAGCGTTCGGGTCGGTTCGCCGGTCCCTTCGCTCCGCGCCACCCGCCGGCCCTTTCGCTCCGCAAACACCGAAGGGTCGGGGCGAACGAAAAGGTTCTCCACGGCGGGCCAGGGGGGCAGGGGGACTTGAAGCTCCAGCAGGTGGTCCGTCCGCCGTCTGCGGTAGATGTTCCAGGGAGTCCCCAGAAAGTGTGGCGACGTCGGGACGTACCAAGTGCCGTCCGCTCGTCTGGGTGTGGTCTACAGAGTCTATGGGGGAAGTGGCCTCCACCCTAAGAGCGATGGCCTCCAACCTAAGGGATGGTGCTTGTAGGCTGCGCCACTTACTGTAAGGTGCACGACGCTGCAGGACGAAGCTGAACGGCCCTCAGCCGAGCTGAAGAACAAATGATGCAAAGATGGCCTTCAAAAAAACGTCGAAAAACGCCTCTTTTTCCCCACATTCATTGGAATTGATTGGTGAAGGCTGGGCGCGAAAAAAACTGGTTTGGAACATATGGAACATCCCCGCCGTTGGCCGGGACCCTACAGGGTCCACGTGTCGGTCCGAGGTGACCTGCCGTGGTGCTGGTCCATCTTGGGCTTGCGCACGTGTATGCTATCGCCCATCTCGTTCCCAATCTGAGCGTCATCCTGCGCCTGCGGACACCATGCCCCATAGATGCCCATATGGAAGAACCCTTGCAACTCCGAAATCTGGTCAGGAGGGCGTGAACTGGATCTGGACACCGAGAAAAAAAAACAACACCCGTGGCAATTGAGCGAGACCTGTTTTGGGCACCCTTCACCGCATCTGGACGAGAGCTCTGAAGGGTGAGTGCACCCTTCATAACCAGACGCTTATCCCTTTGATGGAGAGGTTCAGCCACTTGGAGAACAGACTCGGACTCGGGATGGTCACTCGGATGACACCGTTAGGCCTCCACGCGGCCCAAACACGTCACCCGGCCCAAGTAGGTTGGAGGTCATTGCCCAAGAGAGGCCTCCCTGGCCGTGATCAAGCTACGCTGGGGCCGCAGAAAGGCTCCATCCACATAGCTCACCTCTTTGGCAGCGGGGGGGGCCCATATGCGGCTGGGTCATGTTGGATAATAGCTTAAAGCAAACAACGCCTCCTGCGCTTTACTGCTTCATGCGGAGGTCGTTTTCATCAGGTTGTTATATGCCACCATTGGCCAACCCCGAGGCGAGGACCATATGATGAAAGGATGGTGCACAAAAGCAACTACAGAAGAAACAAATGACAAAGGACGGACCAAACTGAGTCATGTTCTAACCGCACCGGTCAAAAAACAGAGCGACCTCTAAAGAAACAAAGCGAAGGTCCACCCTGTGTAGACGGCCCTTGGAGCCTGACTGGATTTCCGATGTTCTCCGGAATGCGTGTCATTGAGGCTTCGACGTGACTGGGACGACTGTGAGAGCTGTGCTAGAATGAGAAGCACAGGTTCTTTCTGTTGAGCAACCCCAAGAAATTACTTTTGTTTTAGAAGAACTACAGTGGCCGGATATGGACACCCCAACACAAGATGAAGGATAAGGAAGTGAACGGAAACGGAAAAATAGACCCACAAAAAGAAAGAAACAGTACAGTGGTTTCAGAGTAGATGGTACAATCCCCAAAAGGTTGTTTAGATGGATCCCTATATAAAAGACCATCTTGGGGGTTGTGCCATCTACTCTGAAACCACTGTAACAAGAAAACTGCTAGCCATGACACTGCAAACATGGTTGTGTTCGAGTGTCCTGCATTGTAGTGTCCGTCCTTCTGAAAGAACAGCCGTTTCATCTTCACGCTGGCAATGCTGAGGGTAATGCAAATTGCCCCTGCCAACCCCCCACCTCCCTGAGAAGTGTGTAACCATGAACGAGTATGACACCTCCATCGAAAACGACATAAAGTTCAACTAAGAACCATTGAACATGCATAAAAAGCGCTGAAAAAGCACCAACGCTCTTCCAGTAGCCCTGAAGGAAACTGCAAAACTTCTGCAAACAGCACACGAAAACGCTCAAAACGCATGGAAACAAACACAACTGCGGTCTGTGCACCTTAGTCCTTAGTCCAACTAGTTACCCTCCCTGAAGCAATTGCGGAAGTGGAACCCCCTGTTAGTAGAGGAAAACGGTCTTCCTTTCGGGGCCATGTTCCACCTCCATGTTGTTGGGGAGGGTAAGCCAACCCTTTTTGTGGATCTCATGCTTTTCGGCCACCCCCAGCCAAACCCGTCCCAGCGGCCAAAAGCAGCGCGGCAAGACGGAGAGTGCTTCCACGCCAAGCACCTGCGCCACGCCAAAACAGAGGCAGGACAGGTGGTCCACATCTTGAAGGCTGCAACTTCAACAGACCTGCAGCACCCTTTCCTACAGCAAATCTCCGAGAAAAAAAAAAGGACGTTCGTAACCCCGTAAGCCTCCTTAAGCCTCTTGCTGAAAACCGACGCCGCCGTTGGCATCCCGTCTCACGGCCCTCAAGCGCCCGACCGCGACGCTTCGTCCGTCCGGTTCTTCCGACGCTTCGGGGCTGAGCGGAAGCGGATCATAAAGGTGAGAAGGGAAGAATCGGGAAGAAGACCAGAACAACTCCAAGTTGGATTACAAAGGTGCTCTTCCTATAAAGGTGTTCCGGATTGATTCAGGGATTCAGGGACCTGGTGGATTTCACACTCTCGCTCTTGCCAATGGGCAACCGGAGCTTGCAGAACAAGCCGGCATCTCAAGTTTCCAGCTGAGGCTCTGCTAAGCTTCATTGACAGCGGATCGAGTGCACTTGGCTTGAGCCAAGTGGCTAGCGAGCATCGCACGAAGGACAAAAGAACTGCACAGATCCAAAATCTTTAGCGGAACATCTAGTGCCAAAGGGGCCTCCACAGTTCTCACAGCCCTGCTCGCTCCAACTAGCTGCAGCTAAGCACTCCCAAGACCTTGGCATCTGGAGGAGCGACCACCTGACAGTCAGATTCATCAGAGCTGTCCATGAGTGTGTTGTTTGGAGGAGCCTTTTCATATCACCTTCAGAATGCATCGCCAACATCGTAGCGCTTGCTGCAAGTACTTGGTCCACCCCGACTCAACAAAAACCACCAAGCTGGCTCCCATGGTTAGGGAGGGGTATGCTAAGCTGGGCCTCCGGAATCCTCCAGAAAGCAGGGGCTCTGGAATGATGGCGTTCCCTGACCCAGTCCTTGTGCAAAATTCCAAGCCACCCACCCCTTGCTCTCCCCTCCGGGTCATTTTCTGTCATCAGGTTTGGTCTGTATGCTGCGCCGCTCCAACCGGATGAGTGGTTGAATTCAATTTTGGGGTGAAACCGCCAATCTTCACCTGGCTCCGGCAGTCCGGGCAACCCGGACTGCGGTCGAAACACTATGGGCCACTGACTGGTCACATGCCGATCCCGAAGACCTGCACCACGCAAGTTAAGGCCTGCGCAGTGACAGATGGGAAGAGAAAGGAAAGCGCGTTTCCCGAAAATGTCTAGACTGAGTCTCCACATGTTTAGTGCTTGGAATATCTTGGGATGGTTCTACACCACGCACTCTTGGCAGGGTCTCAACAGCCTTCCACCCGGAAGAAAAGCCAGAAAACACAAAGCCCCCCACCCACCCACCTAAAAAAAAAAAACAAAAAATATCCAAAAGCCAAGCCCAAGCCAGTTCTGGCCTTGTTCTCCCATCGATAGCTGGTGGCCGAGTCCGACTCCGGGTCCCAAAAGGTGGAGCTGCTCGTGTGGAAGCCGGCGCCCTTCTTCTCCATCAAGCTGATGTTCACCTCGGAGGTGTCCGGACACACTCATCAGCTACTCCCACGACTGGAAGCAAAGGTCGAAAAAGGAGATCAAAAGAGATATCAAGGCCGCAAGGGATTGAAGGATCGAATTCAGCGAACCTCTTTGAACACATGTTGGCGGGAATCTCGAGTGCGTCGGCACAGGGGGCCGGCAAATCTGTGGGGCCAGTTGACCCAGAGATTGTGTGATGGCAACTGCATCAACTGGGTCAAGTGGACCATTGGCTCCGGCAACATCGCACGTCTGAGAACGATTTCATTTCATATCGCAAGAATAGATTGGCTGATGAGATGGCAAAAAAGACTTTCGGCCTGGATATGCCCAAAAAGTTTATAGACGTGTGTGTATATAGATCATAACCAACGCATCTTAACATCGCTACATCTTTGCATGATTTTGGATCATTTCTGTCACATGTGAATGTTGTGTGCGCACAGGTCTCCTCTTGAGGTCCAGTCAGTTCTGAGGAAAGGGTCCCAACCAAGGTAAACACGGGACCGAGCCTGGCTTTTACTATTCAAATTGCCTTATTTTATACCTAGCACTAGTAGGGATCCATCTTTGATCGAACAGGCCCAGCAGTTATCGTCGACAAACCCTAAAAATTCTTGGGTCTTGCATTTAACCTTATTTCAAGTGAATGTGTCGTGTCTTGAAAGAAGTAGGAAGTAGGAAGTAGGGAGTGGGAGTAGGGAGTGGGAGTAGGAGCAGCAGCAGCAGCAGCAGGAGGAGTAGGAGTAGGAGTAGGAGTAGGAGTAGGAGTAGGAGCAGGAGCAGGAGCAGGAGCAGGAGCAGGAGCAGGAGCAGGAGCAGGAGCAGTAGTAGTAGCAGCAGCAGCAGCAGTAGTAGTAGTGGTAGTAGTAGTGGTGGTGGTGGTGGTAGTAGCAGTAGTAGCAGGAGTAGGAGTAGGAGTAGGAGTAGGAGTAGTAGTAGTAGTAGTAGTAGTAGGAGTAGGAGTAGCGGTAGCGGTAGCGGCAGCGGTAGCGGTAGCGGTAGCAGTACGAGTGGCAGTAGCAGTAGCAGTAGTGGTGGTAGTAGTAGTAGTAGTAGGAGTAGCCGTAGCGGTAGCGGTAGCGGTAGCGGTAGCGGTAGCGGTAGCGGTAGCGGTAGCAGTAGCAGTAGCAGTAGCAGTAGCAGTAGTAGTAGCGGTAGCGGTAGCGGTAGCAGTAGCAGTAGCAGTAGGAGTAGTAGTAGTAGTAGTAGTAGCAGTAGTAGTAGCAGTAGTAGTAGTAGTGGTAGCTTGTTGGGGTCAACTGGGTCAACTGGATCAACTAGGTCAACTGGGTCCGGAGATTTAGCTCCCTCGGCCCCCCGTGTGGTCGCAATGCGAATCTCTTTGTGTGGCCCCACATGGGCACATGTGCCGAAGCACATGGGAGGTCAGGCAGACTCTTCGAAAAACGACTCTTCGACTAGGACGAGCTCTTTGGGACGGGCAACGATATATTTGAAGTTGCCACTCAGCTCTTGAAGCTTCTCCAGCACAAGGGCACCTAAGGAGTTGCACCACTCCTCTACCTGGGGGACGGACACAAGATTACGACGATATGTGTTACACCCAGTAAGAGACTCACATGGAACCTGAAAAATGGACCTTTGAAAGGCGATTTTTCTCTACAAACCAGTGGTTTTGATGTTCCAGGTTAATCTTCCAGAGAAGAATGTGACACGCCCACACGCCACACCAATGAACAGGCAAATGATTTCACATTCTTCGGGGGAAATGAAGAAGCTTTAGTCTATGTTTGTTGGTGGGAGTGTGAGACTGTTAGAACATCTTGGAAGCATCAGTTGCACCAACCCTCAAAATCATCGTCTTCTTCATCACCGGGTCTCCTGCTTCGGGTTGTACTCCTTCACTGGGCCTAAGACTTGCTCAATGCACTGTGGCAGCCGCACATTCACCTCGTCTTTGATCCGACCAAACGAGGTCATGGCCGACCGCACGGCGGGGCCCACCGGCGCGGTCTGAGCAGGTCCGGGCGGGGCCGGGGCGAAGCGAAAGGACGGTTCTAGTGTTCACGCGTCCAAAAGAAAAAGGCGGGGAGAGGGCACCAGCACCACTTAAAGGATTGCTTTATAGACCCCCCCTGGCTATGCATTGCCAATCTGCAACCACCCAAACTGGGTGGTGCTGGGGAAGTGCTTTTTGGTTGGACACCCTGAAAAAGGACATCAGGGCCGATCCGCAGATCTTGATGAAGAAGCCCCTCCAATTGGACCTCCTCAATAAAACCCCGTCGTGTGAAATCCCGCAAGCTTGGACTTGAATTGAACAAATGCCTACACGCTGACCGATAGGGATTGAAGAATGCAGACTGTTGCTTCATAAAAACCCCCCTATATGGGGATGTAAAACCATTCTGGATCCGGGTAGGGGGTGGCTATGAATTTCATGAATCAACGCCTCTACATCAGTCACTGCTCCTCACCCCACGCTGGGTGCTCCAAGCCCACGCTTTGCCACCGGTCAGCTGGGCGAACCAGTTCTCCTCGGTCGCCCGGTTGGTGAGATACGGAGCTCACATGGAAGTGGAAACGTCCATGTTAGCTTCAGGGAGTGCAAAGTCCGTCCAAAGCCAAGGAGGCACCAAGAGCAAGCATGACTGACTTGGCGAACCATATTCGTTCTTGGATCTCTTGCGGAACCATATGAATGAGATCTGAGATGGGTCGAAAAAAGGTGTGACGAACATGCACTGCCTCTCTCAACAGCTGGGAGTCCAGCTGGATGTTGATGTGGTGGCGAGGAGGCGTTGGCACCTTAGCCAGCAACATTATCTATATTGGTGCCTTCGAGGCTGAACGACATCAAAGAACCATCTGCAGAGTGCGGAGGGTACTGTGAGGGATGCACTCCCCGAGATCATCATGGAAGCTGATATCCTCAGACCAAACAGGTGGTTTTTACACCACTTCCATGGATCTGCTTTCTGGCATGAACACGGTGAACACCCATGGTGGTGCCGCATCGAGAATCGGCTTTTCGCCGGTCTTCCCCCTCACAACAGTTTCATTGAACAGTGCAAGGCGCTGAGTGTGACCCACCAAACCCTAATGTTAAACGGCTGAATGGGATCCCCCACTGCCCAGGCTCACTGTGGGGCCTGTGAGCTGAATCGGCCGCAAGTACTCGGGGAGCTCCAGAGCTGAGACGAAGGGCGTCGGTTCTGAAGCGATCGGCGGGTTGCAGGGTGTCGGATGGGTGTGCGTCCTGCATGCGATGGCCACCTAGGCCCAGCAAGTGTCTGGGGAGGGGACTCACAGTCACAGTGGTGGAAAGATTTTCTGTTGGTGGATCTTGGACAGGTGGAAGAGGTGGCCGAAAACTGCTGGCCTCAGGCCTCTAGGAAATTCTAGAAAGGCGTGGGAGAGGCAGGAAGAGTTTTGTCCCGGCCGCTGGCTCAGATCTTGCCAAAACTAGCCGCCGAGGGGCACAATGCCTCAAGTGAACCTTCAAGTCTGCCAGTAGCAATACAGGATCTTCCTGCCTCGTTGTCCTGATAATCTCCCTGGCCCTATACTCTCATCTCCCAACCCTGCATCTTCTGTGTCATTTCCAGTACCGACCCTCCTACCCCCCACCAGGCCTTCCCCCCAGGCTTGTGCAGCAGCATGTGAGGGCTTCAGCAAGAAGAGCGTGGACTTGGTGCCGGGCTTCAGCCGCCCCCAGTGATGAGACTGGAGACATTGTAGAGATCATCACCCACATCACCTTCCCCCACAGGACCTGTCCACTTCTCCCTTCAATCCAGAAAACTGGACCGGTCTCGTGGCGAAACAACACCCCGACCACACCTGGTATCGATCATAGAACTTGAACATAGGAGGTGGCGAGAACCCCCAAGAAAAGCGAACTTGGGCTGTCAGGTTTCATCCTAGGACCCGACATTCCGAGATTCTAGCTTGTTCTCCCAACTGCGGGATGTTTACCTCCAACACGCTGCAAGCCATTTCTGCCCTCCTTCACCGCACTCTTCCAAGTTTCAGTATCAAGATCTGAAAGGGCAAGTCGACCAATGATTCAAAAAGACTTAAATAAACGGTCAGTTTCAGCAAAGTTAGAAATTAGAACATCATCTGATGAAAACACCATGACTCTACAATGGTTCCCGCGCGCCCCCTCTCCCCCCGGGCGTCTGGCCCGCCACCTCCGCTGCCCAACCAGCCCCCTTCATCTTCACCGAGGTGCGTCCCGCAGGCCCAACAAGGAGCTCAAAGCCACCGGCTTCTCTAAGCCCGTCTGCATCGGCCTGACACGGATGGGGAGATGAAGGATGAGGACGGGGAGAGGACGGGGAGAGGAAGCGTCACGCTTCACGGGTTGGGAGAGGAATTTCTAAAGATTTCGACATGAAACTGGTTTGGAGAGGTAGGGTGGTTTCATTCTTCAACGGTCCATGTTACATACACTGGGGTGCCAAAAGTTGCGCTTCTTGACTTCTAAAACATCACAAACCCTTTCCCCTTAGAATCCTACGTGCAGCATGTCGACACCTCAGTTGCGGTCAGATTTCCACACCTGAAAGCCTTATAAATATTATAAGTTTAAACGGGTGCGGAAATCTGACCGCGCTGTACCTGCCACGCAAAATGGACGTGTTAATCCGATCCGCTGTAGACCGCAAGTGTCATGTTGGAACAGAGTAAGAAGCGTAAACTTTAGGGTTCTTGAAGTAAATTTGATTGTGCTGCCGGCAGGACAATTGTTCTCGAGATCTATGCCATCCAGTGTTGCATGAGGGATCAAGTCCATACCCCAAGAAAGCAAAAAAAGAAAAACCTTTCCAATTGCGTTACACTCCGGAAAACTGAGATGGGCCCTGAGAATGGGACCCGGAAAGACTGTGTTCCTCTATGTACAAACCAGTGGTTTTCAGGGTCCATACAGTATTCGTTTTCCACGGGGTATGGCTTTACGGAGTGAAACCTGTCGTTTTGAGCCGGCAAAAATAACTGAAGGAAAGGAACCAATCACGTTTAGAGTCTAAATCTCTGGAGCCTGTTTCTGCCCAGAATCCAATTCTGTGGATCAAGAAGCTAGGTTGCCAGTTCAATCCTCACAAGTCCTAGATGTTAGCGTTATAAACCTGACACTCAGGCTTATACGGTCAACCAGTGGACTTCTGGATCTCCGCATGACCAGGGATGTGAGAACCTGAGTGGGCAACCGATGTTGTGCTCCTGTTTGGGGAGCAAGTTCAGCAACCAGAGTGCAGTGGCTTTGGCAGGTCAGAAGTGACTCAATGCTTGGCATTGGGCAACTCTTCAGCAGTCTCCGCGTTGCGCGAGCCCTTTTCGCGCTGCCGTCTGCTGGGTGCACCGAGCGGGCCTTGTCACTCCAGCTGGAGCTCTGCCTGAGTCGTCAAATATCCTCGTCACCTTCAGCATGAGCTCCAGCTTCTGCAATGTTCACCAGCTAGGCACCAGCACTTGCTGGCTTGAGCTCCCTTTCTTGCAGGGCGGCCGTGACTTTTGCCCAGGAGCGCCGATGGAACTGGCCCACGGCGAACAGCTGGCGTGTTTCTTGTTTGCTTTTTGGGTGTGTGGTCTTCATCGAATCAACAGGTCAGTCCAGTAAGCAATAAAGTCACCTCATGTTGGGAGCGCTCATGTTGGAATCGGTCAAGAACTCTCAACACCAATGAGTATCGTTCACCGAGGAACCGTGGAGACATCAGCTTCTGATTGGCGTTTCCTTCTAGTTGGCATCTTCCAGATTCCCAACACTAAGTCTAGGCTTGCCCAAAGCCGTGGGTCAGCTATGAGGAGAGGGGAGGAAGCAAGAAGAAACTTTCTGAGCAGCACAAAAAAGACAAGAAACCTGTGTGGTTATAGAGCACCAAGTACTTCACCTCATCACATGCCGCATTGGCAAAGGGCACCTCCTGCTGGACCAGCTCCGACTCTCCCTCCACCCGAATTTGCAAGGAGCGCCGTTCCCAATCAAGCCGCAAGATCAGTGAAAGCCACTCCTCAGCACAGGGGGGAGGTTCTCACAGCCAATGATTCGAAAAAAACACTCTTCGCGTCTCAAATCCGTGTGTTTTCGGCCGCGTGACCCATAGAACTGGTATACTTCGAGAACAGCAAGCGAACTCAGAAAGAAAACGGGCCTCAAATCAACCTCACAACCATCAACCACCATCACCCAACCATCAACCATCAACCAACCTCCAAAGTCTTGCACCGTCATCCCAAGCCTCTCCATCCTTCCATGTCGCCAGAGGCTCACTGGACCAAGTCTTAGCAGCTAAGATCTCACGGCAATGCCCATCCCTCACAAAGCTCATCAACACCGCCGGACACTCGGGGCCCTTGTCGTTGCCCTGGCCATACGCCAAGGCCAACACCGCCCCCGAGCGGTGCGGCCGAAAGGCCGAGGCCTTGCAACGATACGCCAGCAGCTTGGGACGACAGGAGCTACCAGGCAAACGGTAGACGAGGCCACTGGGGCCATAGTCGGTCAAGGGATCTTCGTTGGACAAACACACGCACAAGTGCCCCGCAGGCGCCGCCGGGATCTGCGCCGGCGCACGGGCGAGGACGGCCCGGCCGCCGCAGGCGCTGGCGGAGCCGCGGGACTGGCACGCCACGCGCTGCAGCCGGGGGGGCACCTCAGTGCCGGGGCCCAGGCGCCAGTGGCCCAGGCCGACGAGGGGAGGCACTTGCTGCTGGACATCTTCCACCAACTGCGCCGGATCCCAATGCGCAAAGTTCTCGAAGAGCAGGGAATCCTGGCCAAGAAACAAGCCCAGAGCTAATTCCAAAGTTTCCAGGACTTCATAACTGAGCTTAGACTGAGCCTAGTACACTGAGCCTAGTACATCCTCCACCTGGCGCAGTGTCGAAACGCACATGCACGTTGCAGGAGCCCCGCCTCCATCATCGGCAGAAAGCGTAGGGCTTCCACGCGCTCCGGTTGACTGAGAAGTGGAAAGGGTGCAGCAACAGCTGCGGCAGAGGCGACCCGTTGAGGCAGCAACTGCAGGGCCAGCCGCCAGTGAGCGATGTTGCTTTTGGAGAGGCGCACGAGCTCTAAAGCCTCGAGAGAACGCCAGACCTGCAGATGGGTGGGCTGGTGGGTTGAGGATGGAGGCAGGGCATGGGAAGCCATAAATAGGACTTGAAAGTTCTGTGGCGCTAGTTCTTCCAACGAAAAATGGTGCTTTGCGATCTGGGCCTGATATCCCAAATCGCTCCTGGATAAGTAAATTTGGGAGATGCGCCCTTCTCTCTACCCCAATGAGCAATTATTCCAAATGTGGCATGAGTCCCTGAGCTGGATAGTCACTTGTTGCGCACCCCAGATCCAACAAACCCCCCAAAACCGCCCGCTGGCTCTCCCGAAATCGCGAGAGCGTGGGCTGAAGAGCGGGCGTGTCACCGAAGCGCCATGGGACCGAACACGTGGTGGCGTGGTGGCGCGTGGCAGCGGCCTACGCCCACTCCAGCTTACATCCACTCCGGCCTGCCAAAGGTAAATGCCAGTGTCTTCCGCCAAAACGGACGAAGCCAAATGCTCCAGGTGCGCCATGAGTTCAGTGGAATGGCTTTAGCATGAGACAGTTGCTGCAAAGGGGCCCAGCTTTGCGGGGCTCCCAATTGAGTCAGGTGGCCTTTGCCTTTGGCGCTGCATGCGACAAACTACGGGCCACCCATAGGCCTCCTAATGTGTGGATTATGCAGTGCATCTTATCTGAACACGTCATGTGAGGTGTGCACCAACCATGGACCCCGAGCCAAGCACCTGTCGTAGCGTGCTGTTGAAACGCAGTTCCAGCTCAGGCTTTGAAAGCAAACACTGTTTTTCTCAAGATGTGCCTTGTCAGAAGTGGCCCAAGCACTCCCTTCAGCTCCATCCCCTCCATCCCAATCCCCACTCGGTCGACCGGAGCCTCGAGGCTCCGCTGCCATACCGGTAGACCTGCCGAACGCGTGCGGCGAACACGTCGGGAGGATCGACTTCGCTGGGATCGACTTGGAGGGCCTACGGGGTGTTCATTCCTAGCCCTTATATATAGAGGTTAAGAGGGGTGTGAAATGAACCACAACCGTGACTTCAACACCCCGGAGATCAGTCCTTCATTCCTCCGGAGCATGAGCATGGCTGAGGAGTCCTAACGATGAGTCATGGACTGGAGGGCCCACATGAGTGTGTGGTGTTTGGTCCTCGCCTGCCCTTTAGGGAATGTGTCAAACCTCTTCGAAAATTCTGGGCCGAACCCCATCCCTACACCAACCTCCCTCCCATCTAGTCCCTTTCGGCGAAGACTTCATCCCAATCATCTGCCAGATGCCAATCTCACCCCACATCCCAACTGGGGATCCCCGGCCACCACTTGCTGCGACCTGAATCCACGAACGCGCTCCCTGCGTGCCCCGCGGCTGTTCACGCCGAGATCCGCGGCGTTTCAGGCCGACGGCTTAGGCGAGGACTGGACCAAGGAGGTGCCAAAGGAGGCCTGGAGCACTTCAGGGTCCCAGCCTCGGTTGCTACCGGTGGTCACCATCAGACAACCACGGGGTCCATGGAATGGGAAAGCGGAGGATGCGGAGTTGACCTCTCGGAGGAAAACGCCAGGGATGCATTTGAGCCACCGGCCCTCGCCGAAAGGGCTGCCGCCTCCGAACCCGAGATTCTCGAACATCTCGAAAGAAGCAGGCAAGGCTCTGGTGTGACAAACTGCCGCCGAAATAAACATGTAGTGTCATCAACCAAAGGCCGCCCAATCGGCCTAACGCCGCACATAGATGAGATGGTATTTAGACTCCAAAAACGCTCCGTACCCCAACCTCGTTCACGGGCCGCCGCCAAGGCGGACGACAACCTCCGCCTGAGATGCGCAAGCCAAGGCCAACAACGCCGCCTTTGCTGCCCCGTGATGACGCTACCAAGAAAGTAGAAATGATTATTTCTCCTCACCAAGGGCCTAAAGCCTTTCTTGTACAGTCTACCCTCCATCAGAATCACAATATATCGCAAGCTTGAAGCAGGGAATGATTCCATCCACCCTGCGAGGAGGTTCTAACCTGGCCCATCCAGCCCCCTACCTACCTTGCTCGGAGCCGGCTGGGGCTGCCTGCATCACCCACGTCGGCAAGCTTCACGTCCATCCCTCTCCAGCCTTCTGAGGCCCCAGCTGGCGCTCGTCTCCACCTTTCCCGTGCTTCACCTCATGTGGCGTCCAGGTGGCGCGCGCACGACGCTCAACTCCCCGGAATGGAGGTGGATGGCCCCCGAAGGAATGATACAAACAGGTGGGTGTCCACTTCCATGATTGTTTCAGGGAGTGTAGTGCTGACTTTCGGGTTGGAGCTAGTTGTTCTTCCACATGCTGAAGAGCTTCGAGAAAGGGCCGCTCAACCCAAGATTGGCGGCGGAAAACTCATGCACGTCCGGTCTGGGGGAATGTTCCGTGTGGCTCTTGGGCCCTTTCAATCTCAACAAGTCCAACAAGCCTTCTGCCAAACTTCTTCCTTCTCATGGAGGCGTTGCCACCCAAACCTTGGAGTTATCCCACTCATGGTGCAGCAAACTGTAGACGCCGGGGATGCAACCTGTTCTCTTGGATTCCAGGCTTTGTCCAGACCATGGCCCAAGCCTTAGTAGCACCGGACGCAGCCCATGCTTGGCCACTTGCACCCCTCCAAGGCCCTCCAGGTGCCTTTCCCGGCGTTCTGTGCTGACCTGCATTGAGCGCCGAACCCGTCGACGGTTTCACATCAGACAAGCTCCCAACCCCGTCCGGATCGATGGCCCTTGGGCTCCAACGATCTCCTCAGGTTCGGTGGTTAGACCCCCCTGGCACCCACCCCAACCACCGAACCTGGGGATATGGTTGGAGCCCTAGGGTGGGAGACAAACATTCATGAGACATGGAAGAACCGTCCAGGACCCACATGAGGTGGCTCCCCTGAACACCCTGAACACTATCAATTGGCGATGACAACCTTATGGTGGCTCTGGTTTAGGTTTATGGGACTGGGTGATGATGTTGAACCGTGACGCACCTATCTAAGTCTTTGTCCACACCATGACACAGAAATAAAACAATTATGTAATATACATAAAAGGCACAATTCATCTGAGAGGAGTCGTGAATGTGTTTCAGCAAATGTCGATCGGAGTTCCCATCCACAAATCCAGGCACCTACCAAGAGCTTTTAACAGGTGGCCTTTGGATCCTGATAATTATATAGGTAGTCACCAAGAAGCACCTGTTGGATGGCTCCGGAACTCGTGAACCTTCGGGCCCGACAGTCGCTTCCCGGCGCTTTTTTTTTTCCTTGAAAGGTTCAGTCAAGGGAGCCGCTCAAGTTGCTAACAAACACGTCCCAGATGTTCGGAATGTGCTTGAAACACCTGTAGAAATTTCACAGGATGCACTTTGGCCAACAAATTCGGTTGAATTCTTGAGGCACGAGTCAGGATCTTGGACCACAAGCAAGGGAAACCAAAACGGGCTTGTTTCAAACCACTTCCGGCCGTTGAAACTCTGCCTCATCGTCAACGTTCGTGCAGGCTTGGCCCATTACTCCCACACTTTTTCAAGCCTTTTTGAGAGTTGATGTGTAGGTTGATGCCTGGTGACTCTAGTGTCTACACCATTCTTGGCTTTTGATCGTGCAGTTCTGCACTGCTCCTCCTCCTCCCACCTGTTTCTGAGTCAATCACGTGCTTTCCTGTGTGGGCGTGCCCATGGCCTGCGCGCTCCTGCGGAAACCAAGCCTCACATGCAGTTTCCTTACTTCCTCACTGGCAGGCGCGGCCGAAGTGGCTGCAGCACCAATCCTGGAAACAGGTTCACAAGTACCGAACACCCTTCAAGTCCAACGGACTCCTGCTTCGCCCGGGCGAAGAAACACCCGTGTACACCGGACAACGAACGCCCGTGTTGGTCTCCTGCTTCGGCGCGGACCATCCGGTCTGCCAGTTGGAAAAGCCGGCCGAGCAGTCGAACTTCATGTGTGCCAGGTCCATGTGCCCCACGATGTGATGCTGCACCTGGACGAGGCGAACTTCGTCTGAACCCGACCCGGGCGAAGTCCTGCACTCGTGCATCGGGGAGTGAGACAGAGGCGGTCAGGGAGTGTGCCCTGTCTCTCCGGAAGAGAAAGGGAGAGAAAGAAAGAAAGAAAGGAAAAAAGAAAGAAAGAAAGAGATGGTTGTGTGGCGGTGAAAAAAGGAAAAATACCTTTTGGAGGTGAATCACTCTTCACCATGCTTTCTATGTTGTCATTCTTTGGATAATTTCCTTCTTCAATCCAAGTTGATGTTACTACTTTTGTGTGGACTTAGACATGTGCGTCGGACCCCCTAATGCTCAAAATTGAACGTTCCTGGGTCAAGTTTCAGACGTCCAGCAAGCTTCAGGCGTCCAAAACAACGCGGAAATACCTATGACCAGGCCAACTTACAGTCTGACTTTCTTACATGGAAATGAGCGGACATGGATCCTTTTCAAATGACCTGTCAAAAGCCAAGCAGGCATGTGAAAGCACAAGTCCCCAACCATTGCTTTTCTATAAACGTGGTGCTGGTAATGTTTTCCCCTCGGACGCCTACATGCTTAACATCGTCGTACACAGTTGTGGCACGTCTCGATTTGTCAGGCTCTACATCTCTGATGAACTCTGGAACTAGTCAAATAAGGGGTAGACTCTATATAGTGGTTTTAGAGTAGATGGCACAGACTCCAAGGCGAGTGGTATAAATATTCATATATATGTGTGTGTGTGTAGCTGGGATTTCCCAGCTGCACTGGTGGCTTCCTCACCCTGAAACAGTTTCCAACCTTCCTACGGGTTCCTCTCTATGGATGGTCCTCCACCCAATCCCGACGGGCCGCCGTCCTTTTCTCACCTATCATCCGAGATCCTGTGCCCCACCTTGAGCCAAATCCCGTAGGATCGGCCGAACTCATTCGAAGGCTCCGGTTGGCTTGGTTGACCCTTCATTGGATTCACACTCATCCAATTTTCTTTTCGAATGAGTCTCTTGAAATGACTCCACCCAGCGAGTACAATTTGCGATTTGGATTGCTGTTTAATGAGCTGCTGTCATCATAAATTCGAAACTTTCCAAGTGTGAGTACTTTCCGGAGGAATGCTGAATCCATAGGTTTCGTCAAACAGTCGGCCAACATGATTGCTGTTGAAATCCATCTGCACTCTGTTGATTCTGAAGATTGCTGCTTTATCAACATCACCTCTATTGTGGTTCTCCACTCTTGGCATTTGGGGTTGCCATTTTGTTTATGAGGTCATATAAGCTTTTGCAATCCGTGATCAATAAGGCTCTTGGTTCTGCCTTGAGTGACTCTTCGGGCTTCTGCCAACGAAATCTTCCATCTTTGATTATTGCCCACATGCATCTTAGCCATGTGAGCTTGTCCAAGGAGGAAGACATAGCATAGGCTTCAGCGCTTAACGTCGATCGAACAACTCGGCTGAGTTGTTTCGAATGCCACGCTAGGGGTGATATATCCTATATTCGATTTTCTCCTAAATCTTTTGTGCAAGCAACGATGAATACTCCTTGCTGCGCCTTCAGCTGTGTCTCTGAAGCAAAGCTTGCGTCCCCAAAACTGGCAAAAGTCAACTCTTTCATGGGTATTAGCTGAACAATGACTGCTGTGTTTGCTGTTTCTTTTGCTTCCTTCAAGACTTTGTTTCCTTCCATCAAGTCTTTTACCTTAGCATCACATATTCGTTTTTGTAGGAATGATACCTTTGCCATCATGTCGGGACGGGAGTGCACTGCTGCATACTGCATGCTGCCGCAAAGTCCTCGAAGCGACTGCAGTTCTGCTGGAGTCACTGCTGCTTCTTGATCCTTTCTTCGAATCTTTGGGATATCTATCGGATCTATCTGATGCATGTAGTCGGCTTGATCTACTCTTATTGAATAGTCGGCTCTTTGTTCAATGGTTAAACCAGTAAACTTGAACTTGGTGAACTCTCGGTTTCCGAAAGGCAAGTGTTTTTCAACATTCTTCAAGGCCTTCTTGAATCTTTGATTTCCCCCTCCTATACCGTCGTCGACGTGTGTTCCGAGTATTCCGTCCAATTGGCTAGGGTCGGTTTTGCTTCTCAACAAGAATAGGCGGTGTGCTTCGAATCCTTCTGCTTCTAGCCTGCCTCGAAACTCCTTGTAGAACAGGAGCGGGGCATCTACTCTGCCATATGCATTTCCTTTGAGAAGTAAAACATGTTCGTTTGATAAATTGAGCATTTCTTTCAGTTCGGGGACCGGTGACATAGCCAACTCTCTCTCGTCACTTCTTCCCCTCAAAAATGCAGTTTTGATATCGAATGCTTGGATCTGCCAATGCAACGAACTCACGGTCTGGAGGATCATCATTCGGCCATCTCTGGACGATGTTGGACTTTCTGCGCTTACTACTCCTACTTCTGGATCTTGGAATCCTCTAATGACTAGCCGAGCTTTCGGCTTACGGCCGGACTCAGACGTTTGATCCTCCTTCCATGTCAACACCCATTTTGAAGACATAATTCGGCTTGGATGGATCCTGTCTCGCAAAGAGGTTCTACTGCGCTTGTTTCAATCCAGCACTTTAACTCCTTTTGTTTTGCCTGATCGAATTGCTTCTTTTCTTCAACCGTGAGGTTCCTGTACTGAATCTCGGTGTGTGTTTTCTTTACTGCTTTCTTCAAGGCTTCTGCATGAAAAGCTGGATGCTTACAAAACTTTTCTAATGTTTTCACTGGAACTTCGAATTCAAAAGTGCACATATTTGCGCTTGCTTCATTGGTTAATTCTTCACTCCATAGAGTTCCCCTATCACCAATGGCTTCCCCTTGTTGATTACTCCCTTCTTATATATGGTCGAATCCCCCCCATCGATCATATTTGCATCCCCAACGGATCCCTCGGTCGGTGCTTCTTCGGTTGGATGATCATTCAGTTCCTCGTCTGCGTTTGGATCATCTACCGGAATCAAGCTAGCGTCGAGGCCTGGCGGATGGCTGATTGGCTGACCTGATCCGGAGTTTCTCCGGGATGGTGCTGAATTGATCTGGCTGGACTGGGAATGGATGGATCTGCATCTGAGGGTACGAGGTCCAAATCATCGATCTGATCGGAGAATTGGAACATGCCACTTCTTTCCTTCAACTGTTCTTTCAGCCTCTCAGCCATTTCCTGCAATTTCTTTTGATCTTCGGTTGGGCTAAAACCATGATGACTCTGAAATTCCCTCAAAGAAACTGATCTCATATTTTCTCTTGCTACCCTGAGGAGTCGGTTCAAATGGGTTACACATATGATTGTCCGTGTTTCGTGCATGATCACTTCACAAGGCCCTACCCATCTACCCTTTTCTAACATGTTTGGTGCTTTTCTCTTGTCCCAAATCATGCAGAGTTCTCCACACTTCCAGTCATGCTCTCTGCCACGTGATTGGCGTAGCATTGCTCGTCTCAAAGCTTGCGAGTTGTCGGCATCCAAAAGTGCCTTCCGTACTTCAGTGCGAATTGCCATTTTCTTCTGGAACATGTCTGCTTGAGGTCCTTCATTTCCTTCTAGTGAATGAGCTATGGTTGTTTCATCACTGCACACTGAACCGGGAAGTCTTCTGGC